TAACTGCCCTTTTGGTATAAGAACCAACCAGTAAGCTCTACCCACCAAGCCACAGGGTTGTAGAAAATCACCCCCCAAAAGGAACCCGTGCTCAGTGGGAAAAGCCAAAGGGCCATGGTCACACAGAGGGGACACGTGAGCGCCCTTCATAAAGGACCCCATCATATTCTGCCCAAACGGAGCCATGAATAACCAAATTCAAGAAGCAACTCTGCTGCGCGACTCGGGTTCATTCTGAAAAACGGAGGAAGCAGTGCTCAGTGCTTTACTTTTAATAGCCTGGGTTGCCATGCCAACCAGAGCTGCTGTTTAAATTGAAGAGATTTTTTTTAAAGAAGAAGTGTTCCTTCCTACACAAACCTTTCAGCAGGGCTCACAATTAGCCTTTAACAAACATGAAAACTCATCAAGTTGGAGATACAGTAAACAGTGTGCTTATATTTAAACCTGTCAGAAGAGGATGTGATAAACCTTTGGTTTATATTTCCTCTGTACAATGCTCTTGCCCACTATCTGCCTGAGCAGTGCCCTGGGTGGGGGGGAAAAAACACTCAGCAGGCATTGTGTGGGCGCACACTCAAAGGCGGCCCACCCAGAGACGGAGAGGAGGCTTCCATCCTGATCGAGCACCAGGAGAAGAAAGATACAAAAGGGGGTAGTTTTTGTGGGAGAACAGGGCTCTGCTTGGGCCAGAAGTAGAGCTGCCCGGCCCAGCTGTTGCCCAAGGCGACAAGGTCAGGGGAGAAAAGCCTGTTTCCTTCTTGCTCCAGGTCTATAGATGAGGGCGCCCCAGCAGAGAAGACAAATGGGGTCCTGCTGTGGAAGTGCTGATGCTGGGGACAAGAGAAGGGAGCAAAATCCAAACACGCGTGAGGAGGAGTCAGATCTCTTCTGTCACCACAGGCTGATTGATAGTCGTTAGTGCTGCTGTTACCAGAGGTTTCTCCTGGTGGAAAGGAAGATGAAGGTGTCAGCCCATCGCACATTCTGTGAGCGGACAAGGACGACATGGTAGTGTGCTTCTGAGAAGATCTTCAGCCTTGGAAAACCTACGGGCAGCCCTCCATTACCAAGTGGCTTTGAGCTGGAGGCAGTGGGCGTGATCTTTGGGTTGGAACCTCATCAGTAGAGGATCTGCTTTCAGAGCAGAGTTGGGGGATGTTGTCAGAGGAGGGCCGCAGGGGAGACTGGGCTGTCAATCATAAAGCTGATGATGTGATCCCAGACTTACTCCCCAACCTCTGCTCCTTCCACTCCCATGACAGTAGGCTGAGGTTCCCACCCCCCAGGCCTCCTGCCATCACCTCCATAGGATCCTGGTAATGGAACAAGTCCCTTCCTCTTTGAAGACTTAGCTCCCACCAGGCCTTGAGGATCCAATCCACATATCAGCTATGTGCAATCTCTTTCTGGCGTTCTCACGCTGCAAACTCTGTTGGAACTGGCCACCCAGCTCATCTGCCAATTAGCATGCCTTGCTAGTGTCCTCTCTAGTGTCATTATGAAAAGATTATCTGACTAGTTAGCTTTTCTTGTGGTCCTGTGGTCCTGTCTGGCTTCCTTAATTAGTACAACGACGACTGCGATGATAAATGTAGGATTGGGCTGACCACCTAGGAACTTCTTGACTGAACTCAATGCTGTTTGATTCCAACTCAAGGTGGTCTGGTCTTTCAGTTCTATCCTACCTCACAAGGGCTCTAAAAGTTGGGGTCAACTTGATGCGTAAGTGCTTGATTTGGTTTTGAGGTTCCTGCAAGTATGAGCAAGGGAGCACTGCACGGTTTAAAATCAGGATAGATGTGCGTCAGGGCTGTATCCTCTCTCCTGTTCAGTCTGTATGCTGAGGAAAAAGCTGTGAATGAATCTTCTCGGGAAGAGACCACCTCATCTTTCCGCTGTGGAGTGACCAGTCGGTTCAAACTGCTGACCTCCTTAACCTAAAGTGCTGAGAAAATGCAAGGGCCAATGAAAAACAAAAGCAAGCCAAACGGACTCATGAAGACTCTAGCAGATGAAAGAAGGCCTGAGACTCGTGCAAGAGAGGGCCCAGCTCAGCGGCAGGAGGGCCTAGGTGCGTCTTCGAGTCACCCCATTGTGGACCGGGCTGCCTTGGAAGGCTGTGGACTCACATCTTTCTCACACGACATTGGCTGTTTCAGTCGGAAGGTCTGAGACAGCATGAGAGCCAAATTCTTACTAGGGAAAACGCCAAGTGCACAGCCATGTTGAGAGAGCAAGAACGGCTGGAGTTGAGTATCTAATCTGTCGGTGTGCAGTGCCAGACCCATGTCGACCCCTCCCCAGGGCCACGCGTGACGGTGGGTGCTCGTGCGCCTGTCTGCCCTGCTCTGCACTGAGACCAGACAATGGGCAGGGAGCAGGCCTGGGCCTGCTGTACCTTGGCCTGAAGCTATCGCACAACTGCAAGCAGTAAGCCTATACCTATATAGGAAAGAATGTCTCCACTCTATAGACTTTATTAATCTATTTCTATTTTTAGTAGACCAAACATGGTTAAATTCCTCTTTGTCTCACACGTCTACTACAAGGCCTCTGAGGCAGCCTCCGGCACTATTGCTGCCATCTTGAAGGACAGCGGAGTGGTGAAATTCTGAGCTGCAGAGGCTCCGGCCACCACGCCGACTCTCCAGTCACTTGTGTGGGCCATTACCACGGGATGGAAGTCATCGGGGTGAAAACAAGGTCTGAATATTTGGTGCCGGAGGCAGCGCACGCCACTGGAGCTGCCAGAATGCTGCTAAGGTGGGGGCCAGCCCCCCGCAGGCATCCTCGGAACGATGAGGAGGCCGCGGGCCACTCGGCCAGGCAGCGCCGCCAGCCACCTCAGGATCCTCACACCTGTTACGGGCACAGGCAGATTTCAAGTTGGGGAAAGGCTATGTTACCAAGGGATGGGATAAAAGCAGACATTCAAACCACACCTAACCTTGGGCCTAGAAAGATGATAAGTCGTTTGTCTGTGGGGAGAAGGTTCACCTTAAAAGACCCCGGCGGCGAGCTGGGGGGTACTGTTCCCACAGAGGGGCCCAGAGGTGGATGCGATAAGCGGGAACAAAGCTGGTCGGCAGGAGGGGGGCCTTCCGTGGAACAAGGTCCCCATGGGATGGCCATCTGGGCCAATCCCAAGGCTGGACAGAGTCCCAGGGGGCGTGCCGGGGCATCTGGACACATGGAGGATTGTGGGGGTTTTTGCAGGCTGAGTAACCATTGCCCTGTATAGTCAGTAAACCAAAGACTAAAAAAAGATGCACGCCACGCTGGCTCATCTGTTCCCAGAGCTCCTGCCTAATGTGGCGATGCACCGGCAGGCTGCAGGGTGAGCCGGGCGCTTATCTGATTTCAGCCAATCTGTTACTGTATTTCATTCTCTGTCCCGGTGCCCAGAGGCTGTTGCAATGGGTATAAATTTAGAAAGATAAATAACATGGAAAAGTTGATTTTAGCAAAATAGGTTGCTGTTTTTCTTTCTTTCGCTTTTGCGAAAGAAAGGATAACATGATCTTGTTATTCCTTGGGTCCTGGCCGCGATGGCATTTGATATTCTGGGCAATGGCATTAATAATAAATGACCACAGGCTAAGATTAACCCGCTTCTTCCGAGTCCCGTAAAACAGTGAAGTTTCTACTTTCAACGCTTTGTAGAAGCTGGGGCACAGGCGATGATAAGTGGCTACACCTAGCACCTGAACAGGGGTCTGTATCATGGCACCTGAACCAGGGTCTGTAACATTCACAACCCTCTGAATCAACAAAAGACCAAAAGGAGAAAATGTTTATTTTCCATGAAGCAGCTGAAAGCTGCTAATATTGGATCTGCTATCAACGCCCATGGAAGCAACTGTCAGAAAATCAAACAATGGGCTGCACTGGCCATATCTGCTGTGAAAAACACAGGCAAAGATGCTACTCTGAGAACAGAGGCCGGTGTGTTTCCAAATGCTTCCTATGCCTGGACAAGCTGGACAATGAGTGAGGAAGACTGAAGAAGAGCCAATACTTTTGGGTCATGGTGTTGGTAAGGAAAGATAAATACACCACAGACTGATGGAAAACACAAGCATGTCTTGATGCATGCCAGAATGCTCCCCGAAGGGAAGTTGAAGAGACTTTATCGCATGTACTTTGGAAACGTCAGCAAGAAGGACCAGTCCCTGAAGAAGAGCGTCACGTTAGGGAAAGCATTTGGTGTTTTGTACCATCAAGTTAGGACCAACCCATTGCTGACCCTCCAGTGGGTTTTCAAAGGCAGTAAATCACATGGGAGGAGAGAGTTCATCTCTCTCCTGCAGAGCGGCTGACGGGTTTGAACCATGTGCCTTTGGGTTGGCAGCACTGCTCGCTACCACTAGGCCACTAGAGTTCCCTCGGTAAAGCAGAGAGGAGAAAGGGGAAGACCCTCAATGAGATGGATTGACGCAGAGGTCATAATGGCTTAAGCAGAACTGTGAGGACGACGCAGGCTCAGGGAGTGTCCCCTTTCATGCACCGGTTTACTGTGACCTGGAACCAACTTTAATGACACCTCACAGCAGCAGCAGCAGGACTAGATTATCTGGTAACACTCTGCCTGGAACTGCCATTTTAAAAAAGGGACACATTATGCTCTAAATGATCATTTTTAAAAGAAAGACACTATCCAAAACAAAGGAGAAAGTACCCCAGACTGGAGGTTTGGGTTATGGTGGAAATCACTCTGGCAGAGACACCGTGTGAGGAAAGTCTGCTTTCCTTCACAGGAACAGCCCAGACCCAGTCGATGCCGATCCACTTGCGATGCAAGGCTGCTGGTCAGCCCAGCATCTGGTCATGTGGATGATCAGAGAAGGTACAGACGAGAAAGTGGAAGTTTAGTGAGGCCAAGGTCACGCGGCCGCAGGTGGCAGGGGTGGGAGCAGGGCTGGGAAGCTGGTCCATGACTCTCTGGCACCATCAGGCCCACCACCACCCCTAGAAGCCAAGCAGACTCAGCGCTGTACCTCGGACAGCATCTCATACTGGCCTCTCCTTCCCAGCGCGATGGTCAGCAGGTCATAGACCACGGACGCGCTCTGCAAGCTGATGAGGCGGTCACTCCTGTGCTCGGGTATCCTGCTCAGCACGGCGTCCCGGTTGGCCTGAAACAACATGGACGAGAGGAGCAGATGGTGAACTAGCCCACACAGCCAGCCAGTGCTCCATGGAGAGCAGTCACGTGCGTCCCCTGCCTCGTAGAGCCCACCAGGGGTCTGGAGCCAGAGGCAGGCAGCCACGTGGGGACCATCCCCTCGGGTGGTCCCAGAGCATCACCGCACATGGCATCCTCCACTTTGATGTCATTCCAAAGTGCCCCTGTACCTGTTGACAGACATTTGGAGAAAACCTCAGGGGCCAATGCAAAACTCAGGGTGATTCGGATCCACAGACAATCTCACTGCAGACACAGCCGAGCTCGGGGACAGAGAACCGTTCATCAAGGGAAGCCCTGCTGTGTCTCACCCTTAGAATCTCCAGCTCCACATTAAAGTGGGGAGAAAACTCCCAGCCCCACATTGCCCATCGCCACATACTGTCATAGGTCCTACTTAGGGGTTTATTACTCTCCCTCTACCACTAGGGCCAAATTCAAGTCTCTCCATGGCATCTTCGCTAGAACAGACTGACAGACCACAAAGACTAATTCAGTCTTGTTTAGCGAAGCACAGAGCAGATGTATGAGGAAAAGTAGGAGGCGAGACGACTTTCATTGCAAAAGATGAAACCATGGAGGACTCCGGAGAACACAGTGACAATTTCCTCTCTCCACTGCTTAGCACAGAAATGCATCAGGCACATTCAAGCTTATTAGTCTCCTCTCTCTAGGCAGCCGAGAGGAGCCCTCTGGCACAGCGGTTAACAGGTTCATCTGCTAACCAAAAGGTGAGCAGTTCAAACCCACCAGAAAGATGGGACAGTCTACTTCCCTAGCAGCCTCAGCAGCACTGTGGGGCAGTTCGACTCTGTCCTGCAGCGTCACTAGGAGGCAGTGGGTTTGGGACTGACGGTGGAAATCTAGTTCTTCAGTGAAAGGTTGTTTTCGGTCGTTTGGAAATCTAATTTCTCTACAGATTGTGATGCAGCACATGTATTAGAGACTCAAGAGTACATTTCCTTTCCCCTTTTCCTAGCAGGGAGCACGGAATCAACGGTTAGATTTCACCTGCCTCGTTCTTCCCGCTAATTAGCAGAAGTCTCCAGATCCAGCGTCCTCAGTGGCAAAGATGTGACAGCGGCACATGGGGGTGGGGTCACTTGTGCAGGCAGTGGACAGGCTGGTGTTTACCTTCCTGCCTGACATTCTGAAGGGCAGGCACCTCCCTCCTACTTACTAATGAGACAGAACCCTTCCCCTTGGAGTGTGAGTCCGAAGCTTCCAGGCAGCCAGTGCTTACTTTAGAACTCCTTACTCCTAAATGTCAAAGACAAATAAGAATATGTAAGACGGGCCACTTCCTACAAAGTGAGTCATCCGCAGCGGAAGCAAGCCTGCTTTTGAAGATCTCCTCCGAAGCTTCTCTTATTGGCGGTGTCTTGTGAGTCCCAGAAGAGAAGCTTGGAGGGGACGAGGGACTGCTAAGAAGGGGCTCATTTTATCTTCAGCTGCAAATGTTCCAAGATAGCTCCGGTGCCTTAGTGGGAAGGAGGTGCATTGCCAACCCAAAGGCAAATGGTTCTAATCCACCCACTGCCCTGTGAGAAAAAGGTGGGCAATCTCTCTCATGCGAGTAACAGCCTCTGAAAACTGTTGGAGGGTCAGCGATGAGTTGGTTGCAACTCAACGGCACACAAGAGCAACAATAAATGTTCCGCACTAAGACCACTGCCCGGGGGGGTGCAAAACAGAGCAATGCCTTTCAGGAGAGATTTGCAAGTTACAATAAATGCAATTTTATTTGTTTTTTTAAAAAGCTCACCAGTCTCTTTTGAGTAAAAAGGTATACTCTAGATCCACAGATAATAGACCATCTAGAACTCTATTTCTGATGGTGGTGGAAAGAACAGAATTTCAATGACCCATTTCTTCTGGGAAAAACGAATTTGATTTGCAGTGAGGAAAGCAGGACAATGGCAAATGATTTCTTGTGGGTGGAGAAATACCAGACACATTTTTGTTTTTAAAGTTAAAGCCAGAATCAATGAGGGATGTCACTTTCCCATACATAAAAATAACAACAATACACATACACACATGCACAATGCAATTCTCATTTTGTTCTTGAAATTGAGTATATTCATTTTCTGCTGAAACTGAAAAAAAAATTTTAAAGTTCAAGGACATGGGGGAAAAAAAGACTTCCAAATGAAACTTAATTTAGATTTCTACCTACTTACTGTGTAATGCTTTACAGGAAGAAATAGCCATTTGGGTTGGGAACTTAGTATATCCTGTTTAGTAATGATGCCATTGGATTTCAGCTCCCATTTAAGAGACTTTCTAAAAATTAAACACCACAGAGCCAAGTCTCAAAATAGTGTCAACTCTGAGTGTGAGTGGTTCCCATCACTTCAGTTAAAAAACAGGAATGCCAGAGACTAGGAGGATTAGAGACAAGGTTTCTGAGACACCTACACTTAGTATTTTGGACATACTTCAGTTGTGTTTTTCAAATCCCATACCAGAACACATGAGTTGACAATGGAACAAAATCTTTTCAGTCAGAATTGCCCAAGAAATCAAAAATGTCTCCTATTACTGTGCTTCCAGGACTTTTATACTATAATCCATTGAGGGCCTTGGACCAGGTTTACCCAAAGGAAAGTTACCTCCACGTTGGGAAGGATCCAACTTAGGATAAGGGAAGGTTAGTGAGGAGACCAGGCCCATATAAACATGGGCCTGGGCAGGGCAGAGCACTTAAATGAGCCCAGCCTGAGTTACCAAGAGACTGTCAGGGAGAGATGACCCAAGCAGGCAACCCGCTTCCTTCAAAGAAGAAAGGTGAGACTAGAAGGATTGCCTTTATATGAACTTTCTCACCATGATCTTGTAAATTCCACCAAATAACTGCTCAAGACTATGCAAATAAGATGTTATGGCCTACCAAGGGGATTGGATCATCTGCTAAAGACTTGAATAAGGTGCAAGGAAAACTAGTGGGAGGGGTTGATGGCGGTGGTGGTGTCCTGACCTGTGGAGTTAGAACCAGCTCATAGCTGATCCTCCAGTGGGTTTTTGGAGGATGTAAACTGAACGGGAGGAGATTACTCATCCTTCTGCTGTGGAACAGCTGGTAGATTTGAACCTCCTGTCTTTTGGTTGACAGTGCAATTCCTTACCCACTAGACTACCAGAGCTCCTGACTGTATCCACTAGACCACCAGAGTTCCTGGCTAAGTGAATCCTAATGAGGGAATTGATCATTTTAGCTGTAGGCTTAGCAATGAGTCATCCCAGAGCCAGAAAGGGGAACTCAATATCTCCAAAGGAAGAGACAGAAGTAGAACTCATCCTTTGAGACTGGGGTCCCTGTGCTGAGAACCACCTAGATTTAAGAGACAGAGAGAGTTGCAACACCAGGAAAGGTGCAAGAGGGGGAGAAACAGTATCAGTGAAAAGACAGCAGGAGAATCAGAAGACCAGTGTGAGATAGTGCACACTTCCCAGCCCATGGAGCGAAGTGGTTACAGTCGTTGCTGACCCACAAAGCGAGGGAACCGAGAATCCTTGGATGAAGCTTCCTGGCAGAGTGAGGTACCTTTAGACACTTGGCAGTGGAGCTAGGCTTACCAACCCACACAGCAGAGAACCAAACATCTCTGGTTTACTGGTGGAGGAGGGGTGCCTCCAGGCCCTGTAACAGTTGTCTGAGCAAGGCAAAGGCCAGGAAGAAGAACTGAGAGTCCAAGCTGTTGAAGGCCCAAGAGAGTCTTGCATGCAGAAAGGGTAAGAAAGAGGCTATTCTGACTGATTAACTATATCTTGAGTCATTCTCGATCTTTCTACTTCCCTAATAAGTAGTATAATCATGAGTATAGTCTGGGAGTTCCGTGTGGCCACTGCAGAGAAGTAAAAATAAAAATAAAAAAAATCCAGCAAAGGAGGGTTGGTGTCAGAATTGGCAAAAAGATTGGAGAAAGGACGTATGTGTATGCCTGACCTTCACCTCATAGGAATTAACCTTGGGTTGTTTGGTCTTGTTTCTTTTTCCCCTTTGTGAAGTTAGGCAAGATCTCATACCCTCACTACACCATTTTTATATAATGCCAATGATGTCAAAGAGCTTCCAAGTAGACTTGCTTTGCTAAGCATCTCTGAGCCAGTCTGAAGGCCAAGAAAACCCAGTTTTAAGGGGAGGCGATAAGGCCAACAGTGCCAGCTTCTGTGGATCACTCCCCGACTGGGCATGAACACATCCTCAAAGCTCAACCCAAGTCTTCTTACCACCTTCCTGCAGCACATTGCTCCTGCTTTAACTAACATTCCTTTTTCTCTCTTTCCCCTCCTTCCTCCCTGGACAAACGTGGGTTGGAGGAAGTACAATGCACTAGAAAGAGCCATATCCCAGTCCAAAATCTCTATTTTACCTGCTCTGGGGCTCACACTCCCCACCCATACAATGAAATCAGTGGACTTGAGGGCCCTGAAGTCCTTCCAAGCTCCCTGAGCTGCCCCTCTGTTCAGGCACTTGGCACACACTGTGTCCTGCTGATAAACTAACACCCATCACACAAATTACCCCTGAGCTTTTAAACCAGGGCCATATCATCTAGGGCTTTGTAGAGGAGACACTGGCCAAGTAGTGGACAATGGAAGAGTATACCTAAAAAGCTAACCTCCTGGCCAAAACTAAAGAAAGTCCCCACCCCCCCAACCCCAACCTGCCACAAGAGAAAAGCCAGGACACAGGGGCAAGCTCTCAAAACCTGAAGCTTTGCCACACCTGGAGGACAGGTGGGAGTTCAGCGAGACCACCCTGCAGGCAAAGAATGCCATTTCCTCAGTTCATACTATAAAAACCATATGGTCAAATGTGCAGCCAAGGACTGACGGATCCCCAGGGCTCAGCCCGTCCAAGGCAAGATGAGAAGATGTGTAAAGATTACCCTTGGGCAGCTTCTTGTTCCTTTTAAGGTGTCCTGGGTACAGCTTGACTACACAAGTTATGTCAGTGCTAAGTATATGTGCTAGATGAATAAATGGACAAACTCCATCCTCCAGGGGGACCTTGAGGTACCTCCAGCCAGTCCCAGGTCCCAGGAATAAAGCTCAGCCTTCTTTTTAAACATCTCCTGGTTTCTCCCACACTGGTTTCTCTCCTTTAGCAAGTCTTCTCACAAGTGCATAGTCACCACCTCAGAGAGGTCGCCATATTGAAAAGCGACTATGGGGACCAGGGAAAGAAGACTGTGGAAACCCACTCTACTTACCATTGATTCACTAATTAGCAATAACAGCAGGGCCTCTTCAGTATTTTCTTGAGGACAAAAAATGCTGCATGAGAGAAAGAAAAAAAAAAGACCAACTTTGGTATATGGCAATTCCAAAATAACACAAAATTCATCACTATGCGTAGAACCAAATCAAGGCTAAAGGAGTAGGTTTTTATATCCAACCCACGAAAAATACGGTATCGTCTAGAAACTTGAATTAATTTGTGCATTTCTATGGTTACCTATGGAATTTGTACTTTTCAGCTATATTTTAATGGCAGGCACAAAAGGAAATCAAAGTGTCAAAAAAAGAAGTTTGAAGACCAAGTTATGCATGTGCTTATTAAAGAAGACATTTCAATCACGGTGAAGTGGTCAGGAGCCCTGGTGGTGCAGTGATTAAGTGGCCAGCTGCTAACCAAAAGGTAGGCTGTTCAAATCCATCCTCTCTTCTCCAAGGGAATAAACTGGGGCCACTGCTCCCTTATCTGACAGCCTTGGGGCCTTCTGGGAAGTTCTAATCTGTGTCACAGGGCAGCCACGGGCTGGATAGGACTCTACAATGATGGTTCGTTGTTTTAGGTTTTGCTTTGTTTTGTTTTTATAGAATTTTACCTCAATAGCATAAGCTTTATCCTAAATCCATTATGAAGATATTAACTGCGGACATTTCAGCAAACAGTAAGTAATCTTCTTATGTGCTAACTGGCAGTTCTTATATTGTCATTTAGGTGAATAAAAAGACTGGAAGTCATTCTGGAGCTTGAAATTCTTCTCTAATTCTGAAAGAATTCAGGGAGGTTTAGCTTACTTTTACACATGCATTTTATTAGGGGCGTCAGGCCAGAGTGGTCTTCATCTATCTTTCTGAGGGGAAAGGACTTGGTTAAACTGACAATTTTTAGGTTAAGAGGAAAAGCTTTCATTGTTTCTCAAACTTACAGAGCAGTAAGAACCCATCCCTAACCCCAATCTCCCATCTCTAAATCCTGTTTATCTGTGCTTTGAGCACTTGGAATTGGTCCTACAAATGAACATGGTTAGGAAACTCTTGAACATTCTAGAGATGATTGGAGAAAGGCTTCATTTCTATCTTCCCAGGGTTAAGATTACAATTATTTCGTTCAAAGCATGAGACAGATTTTTTTTTTAAATGTGGCAAAGAACATTTTCAAAACCGTCATAAATAAAAGTATGCTCTGCAGAGGTGGCAATTTCTGGACTGGACGGCAACAAAGAATGAGGAGGAACAGAAGTGCAGATACAGCGCCTGATACTTGCATTACAACTCTGAGGGCCTGAGGTGGGGCACTTGTGCCTGCCCTTACCCAGCAGATATTTTACAAAAAGACCAGGCCTGAGAACGAGGACCTGGATGCTGGGCTTGGCAGTGACATCTTAAAGAAGTCAGCTTGAGGTGACTGGGGTTTCTCAGAAGATTAAACACTTCCCCCTCCTTAAATCCAGAAATAAGAGAGTAAAGGCTCTGGATTACGAGTTCTCTGCAGATAGAAAACTGCCTTTTCTTTCACTATGTGTATTAACATGTACATACATTTTTACCTAGCCAGGAATCATTTCCTGACATCCTGGCTAGAGCTTGCATATATTTAGCACCGAATCCAACTCAACTTATTGCTGTCATATTGCAAAGCACCCAGGGCTGACCCTCCAGCACGTTTTCAGAGGCTATAAATTGTATAGGAGGAGATTGTCCCTCTTTCTCTCCCTCAGAGCAGCAGGTGGCTTTGAACCACTTGCATTTAGGTTACATATCACTGGGACCTTACAAAAAGCAGTAACATTAACCATTTCTTCATTGCTAGCCAGTCCTAAACTGTCCAGATGATTTGAAAAGTGAGTGATCCCATGCTAATTGTGACTTAACATAGGCCAATTCAGTTCACTGATAATCCGTAAATTCCATTTGAGCCATCCGGCCTGTCTAAATGCTAGGTTGTGTTATTTTTACCAGAGTTGCTAACAAGTCTCACATTAGCTGTGTGTAATTCCACTTCTCCTGTGCTGTTTCCAGCACGGAGATGGGTACTCTGAAGTGCTAGAGGCACCTAGGGCTGTCAGGAGGAGGGAGGGGAGGCTCCCAGGGCTGTAAGGAGGAGGGAGGGGAGGCTCAGCACTGGCAGGAGGAGGGAGGGGAGGCAGGAGAGCGAGAAAGTGTGGTAAAGAGTCATGGCTGGAAAACAGCAGGTTGGAATATTCCCTCTCTCGACTCTGAATTCTCCACACACATTTCTAGGAGCCATGGTGGTACTGTGGGTTTAGCATTGGGCTGCTAATTGAAAAGTTGGCCATTGAAAGTACTCCATGGCAGGGAGAAGATGTGGGTCTCCTTCCATAAAGATTTACAGCCTTGGCAACACTATGGGGCAATTCTCTGTCTTCTGGGATCACTCTAGGTCAGAACTGATTCTACAGCAGTTGATTACAGACCCCTTTCTGGCCCTGCTCCCTTCTTCCTGCACAGGGGAGTGTGGAGCTCAGAGTAGAGGCCAACATTGCTGTAGCTTTCCTCTCTTGTTTTTTATTGTGTCCCTTCAGAATATATGTTGGAATCCTAACTTGTGCATGTCAGTGCACTTGAAAATGGGTTTCTTTGTTATGTTAATGAGGCCACATCAGTGCACTGCATGTCCCTCAACAACAGCAACAACCAAAAAAACCACACTAAAACACAGCCCAGAAGATAGACACAGTGTGAAGAGGAAGGAAGCAAATTAATCCAGGAACTCCAAGGAATGTCAGTTACTAGAAGCTGAAATAGATACAGACCACACCCTAGTACCACACTTGAATTTGGACTTCTATCCTCCTAACAAAAGATTAATTACTTTGGGAAAAATCTACTGCCAAAGACTTCTCCAGTGTGCTATAGAGCTAAGGAGCAACAATATCAGTCTGGAAACTAAGGTGCACCAGATCTAGACCATGGTCTCAACTGCTTGCTATACATCAGAGAGCTGGACACTGAATAAGGATGATAGAAGAACAATCAATATCTTTGAGTTGTGGTGCTGGCTAAGAGTACTGGACATACCATAAACTACTAAGAGGACAAGTAAGTCTGTTCTCGAAAGGGTGAAACCAGGTTGCTCCTTGGAAGCAAGGATTTTGAAACTCTGCCTCACATACTTTGGGCATGTGGCCAGGAGGGACCAGTCCTCAGAGAAGGATGAGGGTAAGTACGAGAGAAAGACCCTGAATGAGATGGACCGAAACAGTGATTGGTGGCAATGGGGTCAAGTGTGTTGGAGACAGTGAGGTTGGATTAGGGTACAGAACAGTTCAAACCTAATGTTCATAGAATCAATGATACATAACAATAACAACAACAGCTTCTTGATGTGGAAGGATGAAGGCACCAAGAAAGGAAGCGGATTTAAATTAAAAAAATCAAGGATGCTACCTGGTTATTATGAACTACTAGCCCAATCTGTGGACTACTGAGGTCACTCTACGACTCTGCTCTTTTTTGTCAATTAGTATTAGTAAAAAGATAAAAATTCACTCAAGACAGAAAAACTAAAAACCAGTGTCTCTAATGAATATACATGTGATATTTTCAATATAATACTAGCAAATCACATCTGGCAATATATGGGAAAAGGTGAGATTTACCCCAGGAATGTAAGGTTGACTTAATATAAGAAAAGTAACCAACTGAATTGAACTGTATTAGTACAATAAAGTACAAAGTTATATGATTTTCTGAATAGATGCAGAAAAAATAATTAACAAAATTAAACACTCAGATGAAACACTTAACAAATTAAGAATTAAAGGGAACTTTATCACTGAAGAAAGGGAAACTACAAAAACTTATAGCTGTTTAATAGTGAAAAGCTGGGTGACTTTCTCATCAGATCAGAAACATGACTAGGATGTCTGATCTCATCAATTTTATTCAATAATGTATTGTAGGTTTCAGGTATTGCAATCAAGTAAGTAAATAAAAAACAAAATATCCAGTAGGAAAAAGAAACTATCTCTATTAGTAGGTACAGTATTAACTTAAAAGTTGGCTTTTTTAGTTATTATGTTAGCCCCCTCTGGTCTCCAGATACCTTACCTGCAGACACATGGTCTTGCAACTATGAGACTAGGCTAAGAGAAAGAGTGCTTTCCACACTGAGTGATATGACTTGAGGGAGATCCTGAAGAAAGCAGGACCCTGGTTCTGGTGACAGTGGTAGAAATACCGTGCTGTGGAGAAACTGTGGCAAGGTATAATCAGGGTAGCCCTAACATAAAGGCCACAGTCAAATATTCTTGTAATTCTTATTAGATGATGGAAGGAAAAAGTAACTGCTGAACTGAAACCAGAGCCTGGACTAACTGAGGAACTGTGGCCTAGGACTGCTGGACTAAAACCTGGGTTTGCAATAGGTGATATTCTTTGCCTTCTCCATTCTCCAACTCACTTCCCTAATAGACCCCACTACTGGTACCACTTGGAAGCAGGAGTGGCATCCACTTCCTAAATAACATGCCTCTGCAAACTCTATGAACTTTGATAAACTCAAAGGCAACCAACAACAATAACATGAGTACCACAACTGTGAGTGAAGTCTGTGAGTGAACAATGACTACTGAACCTGGATGACTGGTGGAAAGAGGTCCAGGGGCATGGCTGCTGGCAGGTCTGACCAACCAGCTCTCTATCTGCTGCTATGGATCTTACGGATGGCGACAGTTCCCCTTTATGAAGCAAGCAGAAGTCAGTCTCAGGCACTGCCACCCTCACATTCCATCTGTTTCCTTTACAGTACGTAACATGATATTTTATATAGAAAATTGTAAAGACTCCACTAAAATACTAGCATTGATTGACAAATTTAAATTTAGTAAGGTTGCCGGATACAAGACCAATATACAAAAAGAAATTGTTTCTAATAAGTTGTTTTTTTTAAAAAAAAAAAGCCTAAAAAGGGGGGAGGGAAATGTGTTTCTTTCTATATAATAGCAATGAGCAAAACAAATGAGAAAATTCCATTAATAATATCAATGAAAAAGAATAAAATATTTAGGCATAAATTTAATAAATGAAGTATAAGTCTTACACCCTGAAAAGCACAAAGGATTGTTGAAAGAGATTAAATCAGACTTGAGTAAATGGAAAGACATTCCACATTCATGGATCAGATGACGTAATATTAACTAGATGGCAACAGTCTCCAAGCTGAATGGTGGATTCCAAATAAAAATCCCAGCTACTTTTCTGAAATTCAAAAACTGGTCTTAAATTCATATGGACATACAAGAGCTTGGCTGCTGGGGTGAGGTTACAGGGTCGTGGATTTCTCTTAGGGGTGATGAAATTGTTCTAAAATTGTGGTGACTGATGCACAATCCAATTGATGAACACAGTAAAAACTATTCAATTCTATAAATGGATGAAGTATGTGGTGTGTGAATTTTATTAAAATACAGCTGTTTAAGAAAACAAAGAACAGCAATGGGAATCTGTATGAAATGAAACTTGTGACTCAGTAACCAGTCTTGGTGATGGAATACCCCTTCCGAGTGACTGCATTTTCCAGATATGCACTTGGCCGCCTTGTAGGAATAAACAAAGGTGGGATTAAAGGATCTTACAGGGAGACTCAGAAACAAGCCCACCATCACTGCTGCATCCAGCCCATGCTCTCTCTCCCTCATTCCTGACTTCAGCACAAGTTGACTCTCTGGCCCATTTCCCAAGAAAGTTCCAGGTTTGAAAGTTAAAAAAAACACAAACACCTCAAAACCAAAACATCAAACATCACACTAAAACAAAGAACCACCACCCCGAAAAAAAAACAACCCAAAAATGTAGGGAATTCTGGTGACCTAGTATCTAGGGAATTATGCTGCTAACCTTCAGGCAGCAGGTTCAAATACACCCGGACCTCCACGGGAGAAAGATGGGCAATTTCCTTCTGTGCAATCTACAGCCTCTTGTAGCTAGTTGAGTTTAAAACAGGTTTTTTTGGCTTTTAGTTTGTCTCTTTTTTAACAAAACGATTAAGAAGCCGGCTAAGGGGAGGAAATGTGAGCTCTGGCTTGCAAACAACTTTGGCAGCAGTTGCTGTGGGCCACAGGAGTTCTTATAATAAATGGAATGAAATATCCCACAGCCCAGTAATGATTTCCGAGAAGCAGCAGAAAGCACTTCGACGGGAGCATATTCATACTTAAGTTTCCCCACTGGAGCGGAGATGTGGGCTGAAATTAGGAGCAGTAACGAGGTGTCTTTCAGCACCTTGATTGGTGAGCCTTGCTCAACAGACTCTTTTAGGGGGACAGACTTCAGCCGACGCCTGAATGTTCCCAAAGTGCCCCTCCCATCATTTGATCTACAGATGAGGGTCCAAAGCAAACCAAATTCACTGCCACAGAGGCGGTTCTGACTCGCAGGGACCCTGCAGGACAGAGCAGGACTGCCCACCAGGGCATCCAAGGCTGTAAATCTGCACGGAAGCTGACTATCACATCTTTCTCCCACAGAGCAGCCAATGGGCTCAAACTGTCAACATTTTGGTTAGCAGCCAAGCATTCGGCTACTGTAGCCCCACCAGGGCTCCTAATTACACACGAGGACATCAATGTCCATACTTCTCTGCTGAGTAGATGCGGGCTCTCCGAGTGAGGGTGTAGGTTTTCGTGTTTGCTCCTTTCCGCAGTGGATCGTCCAGGGGCGACTGGCATGGGGGGTCTTCCAGGGGGTTCCAGTAGCTCTGCTCACACATACCCCGCAACAGGATCTCTGCCAACTGCCTGGCTATTGTCTGGGGACACAAAGGAGGAAACGCAAAGCCATGAACCCATTTTCCATCATTCATTCAATCAATCAATCAATCAATCAATCTTTCTCCACCATCACTTCGTGCTAGGTAGGCACTATTCCAAGATAGGGAATTCAAGGTTTGAGTTTTATTTATTTCTATGATGACAATTATGTCACTTTATAGCACAAAAGAGAAGAAAACATGATACACTAAAGTGTCTTAATACTTTTTGAAAAGAATATTGACAGTTCAAATGCTATCCTGCCTGTCTCAGGAATATTAAACATTTTTATACCTGAAACAATGAAAATTTTGAGCTAAAGCTTCTCCCAACTTTCTTACAAGTAACAGGTAACATGCAGAGATTTGCATTACCACTTAATCCCAACCACCTAAATGGTATAACCCCTGAAAACATCTCCTCACTAATGATATCCACTCTAGATTTGGAGATGGTCTTCTTTCTGAGAAGGGCCAAGGGCAGCTCTACCATGGTGCTACTTTGGTATGAAGCCCCTGAGGGTCCTGCCCCAGCCCCAGTGCCTGCACTGGTCTTGTCCAGTAGAGAAGAAAAACGAAAAATCCCACTGCTGTTGAGTGGACCCGACTCTGAGCTGACCTTCCGGCAGGTTTTCTGAGGCTACACATCACGAGGAAGGAGATGGTCCACCCTTCTCTCTCAGAGTCACTGGTAGATTCGAACCACCAGAGAAGAGTGGCCACTGAGTGAGCAGAGTACCACCCCACAGAAGTAGGGGCTACTGAACAACAGAGGGCTTTCTTTTAAGCTAGAGGTGGATCTCCTTTTTCTCTGTGAAAACCCAGAAATATAAAGATCTTGTCCTCTGAAGTTGGATGTAGATTGTTACTTCCCCCCCCCAAATATCTAATCCCATGTCCTGAAAAATGTAGCACATATGGGGAGGAGGTGGGACACTGTCCTGAGAATTCTTTTGTTGACTGATGCATATCAGTTCATTTACTTCCTAAATTTCCAGTAACACAGAAGGAAGTGAAACCAACCAAGATAGCCAGAAGCCAATCCTCTGAAGGCCCCAGGGTGCAGCCTTCGTGCCAGGCCGCCCCGCGGGCAGGAGGAGGTGCCCAGGGAAGCTTCCACCGGCCGGTATTTCCACTGGGTTCGGGCACACTCTGCAAGGCGTGGACAGAGGGATGCTGATCTTCACTGAGCAAGGACCTTCCTTAATCAACTCCTTCTAGAAGAGCACTCTGCCAGGCTTCAGCCATGGGAGACCTCTTAATGCACCACAAGGCAACTGCGAGGCATCCAAATTACTAGCCTGGTGGTTTCTAATAACTATCAGGTAGCAGCAAATTTTCAAGATTACTCCCAAGTAGGACTCGGTGGCTTTCAAAGCCCATAAAAACCTGAAATTAACTTCGCTGCTATTGCTCCCAACCGAGCCATCTGTAAAGATCACGTAAGAGCACCGTCCCCGGGACCCGAACAGTTCCTAAATGGTTTGCTTAAACCATCCATTATCGTTGCATTTGGCCCTCCTCTCAGTCATAGAAGCTAATGACTTCCACCAGAAGCTTCAGCAGCACAAATGACCTCCACTCACTATGGGCCTGAGACACCAATGTGAAAAGATTAGCCAGGGTGCCCCTTCCTGCCTGTATCTAACGCAGAGGGATTCTCAAGTTGTATTGAGTCTCTGCTCTAATCCCTTTGCTTGTCCACCACCACACAGCTTATGTTAGATTTCATTTTCCCTCAGGGTATTAACCTTCTGGAGAGATTTTTAAAAAAAATAAATGAGGTTTGAGGTGATTGCATATTTTAAAAGCAACCAGTGTACTATCAACCACACAGGATGCTGGCTTGGCCCGCTGAGAGTTCAGACGGAGGTCACGGAAGGCAGGTACAGGAAAAATTATCAGCAAGGTCACCAACATCCCATGACTCCTCTGAGTTTTTATACTTGGGTTATGTTTAGATGTCTGTAGTTTAGATGCTTCTGACCTGCTGGAAACCATGAAATAAATTCTTGATTAAAGAAGGGAATGGAGAGATGCAGCCTTGAAGAAGGACTGAAGGTGTCTGAGCACGAACACGGTGCTCAAAGGCCCTCCAAATTCCTTTTCTGCTGTGTTCTCACACCGGAGTGGGCTGACCTGGCAACGTCTCCAGCTCACAAGGATATCCTAAATTTGCAAATGTCGGCTGCTCTGAAACAAGTCATAGGGCTCTCAAGGCTGATGAAAATCTGTCTTATAAATGGCATTAGATGAAGCCTTCTGATGTGCAGAGTCTGTAAATAAGAAAGACCCAGGCAGTGTTTCCCAGCCAAGGACCACTTGGGAAGCCTTTGAACAATACACAGATTCGTGGGCCTTGCTCCAGACCAACTCAGTCAGAATTGGAAAACTAGTAGAAACCAAAACAACCAAACAAATTGGCCCTGAGTTAATAGGGGTTTTCTCCCAACCCCACACGGACAGAGGAGGACTGCTCCACAGAATTGCCTGGTGTGTGATCAGATTGCCACGTCTCTCTCCCACAGTGCCACTGGCTACATTGGAATCGCCATTGCTTGGGTTCCTGGTCAGTAGTGAGGACCTGCACCACCAGGGGCCCGAGGTATGGCAGAGGGGGCAGGCATCTCCCAGAGTTGCTCAGGTGATTGTGATGCACATCTTTAACTGAACACTCAAGAAATCAGAGTCTATCTTGGATCACTTGAAGAACACCAGTCAAGCCAAAGGCACAACTGCACCTCAAGTGACATGAGCGAGAAAGGATCCCCCCGTGGGAAGCACTAACCAGTTAAGAGCTAACACCAACCAGGGGCAGTTCCAGGCCACCCAGAACTTCTACAAGAACTCCTTCTCTGTCATAAGAAATGAAAAATGGAGGAGACCCTTCCTGCACCCTTATTCACACAGCTCGAGCTAGACTTCCATCCTAGCCGATTTTAAAAATAAGTTTATTTGAAAGCCATAAACTTCAGAAAATAATGGGAGGTATTCTCTACTTTAGGGGAGAGAAAAAAAACACCAGACAAACCAACAAAAACCCAAAATCCTGAAGTAAGCCATGGCGAATTCCTTGAGTACTCATGGTGAAGTCCTTATATTCCCACCTTACAATAGGGAAAAATCATTCCTTTTCTTAATGAAACATGCTTTTGAGCATCAGCAAAACAGACAAATGTTCCACATTTAAGCAATTTTGAAAGGCTGGCTCATATATGTGCTAGAACATTTTCTTTTTTATTGGGGTTGTAAAAAAAAAAAAGTCACTGCCATTGAGTTGATTCTGACTCACAGCAATAACTCTGTTGGGTTTTGGAGGCTGCAAATCTTACCAGGAGGAAACAGCCCATCTTTCTCTCGAGGAGTGGTGGAGCTGCAAGAATTATGGGTTAGCAGTGCAGAGTTTATACAGCAAGTCTGTTTTCTCATCAGTGATCCATACGCAAACGGTTGGGTCACATTGGCTGCAATGCCTACCATGTGTCAGCATTCTCCCTGGCTTTCCTGTTTCAACTCATCCAGGTCCTCCGTCCTTCTTTGCTTTCTTAGGGCGAATGTTTCCCTTTTGGTCTGTGCCCGGGAGCATCTTCTTCACGTGCCTTATTATTGTTTATTTTATTGTTTTTGTTGTTGTGTGCAGTCAAGTCAGAACTGACTCACAGCCAACCTTCCAGAGGGTTTTCAGAGGCAGACTGCCCATCCTTCCCCATAGAGCAGCTGGTGGATTCGAACTGCATGCCTCTGAGACTGCAGTGCAGCTTCTTAACACTGAGCCACCAGAGCTTCATTTATTTTGTAGACCTGTCTGGTATTTGGCTGAGAAGCAGTCTCTGGGAGTGTCCTGGGCTCTGAATTAGAAAGCTGTCTTAGGGCAATAGTCTCAAGGGTAGAATTGCCAATTTAATCAATCACTTCCATCGAGCTTCCAAATCTTGGAAGAAGCTGTTTGTACTGACAAGCTGAGAATTATGAATGGAACACTGGGAGTATATATCACTTGGAGAGAAAAGACATTTGGCAATAATTTGTATCCATATTCTTGCAATGTCTTTTCCTTAAAGAACCCTACATATCAAAATGTCTCATTTTAATATCTTAAGGCATCTGTAAATCACTTAAATGTATAAATAAGACCAAATGAGTTTGAATTCTTAGTGGTAAGATTTGCTCGTGTGTGTGTGTGTGTGTGTGTGTGTGTGTGTGTGTGTGTACACACGTGCACATGTAATGTTGCTCATCCTGTCTCAACTCCATAATTCCAGGAAATCCTACAGCTTAGCCATTTAGCCCCATAAACTGTAATGCTTTTGTCTAAAAACACTCTCTCATTGCAGCTGAGTTGGAACTGACTCCTAGCTGACCCTCCAGCCATTTTCAGAGACTAGAAATCACCTGGGAAGAGATTGGCCATCTTTTCTGGTGGAAGCAAACCACCAAAAAGATGCCACCTTTGAGTATGCAGCTTAACTCTTTACAAGCCCTGCCACCAGAAGACTCAGGAGACATCGGAACGGCATAGCTTCGTCCAAAACATCTTTCCCGTGACAGGAATCTCTCAGTTTTGGGGAAATAAATTCTCTCCCACAGCACCCAAGGATTCTTGATAAACAGAAGACAAAGGCAGGGATAACTAAAGACAAGACGTCACAGTCTCATGTGGGCTTGTGACATTGATTAGAACATCTAGCTTTCACTTCTCTTCTAGCAAACGTCAGGCCTTCAGTAAAACCTCCAAATCGATGATTCCATCAGGCATAAAGTAGCCACCAAGACAGGAAGGTGTGAGGATTTAAAAACCAAAGAGGAAGAGAGAGTTCAAGACAACAGGAAACCTCAGCTGCTGATTAACCAGTTGCTTTTTAAGTCCGTATAATTAGCCCAACAGCCAAGTACTCTTCTGAGTCTCCTACGCGTTGCTTTCTCTGGGTTTTGGCATAAATCTTTCACCCACCTGGCCTTCCACAGAGCCTATCTGCCTTCCAGGATGTACTGTGTATGTTCCAACACAGGGGATTGAAGAACAAAAAGGAAAAAAAAATGTTCACTGTTATTAGCCATCAAGGAAATGTGTCCCGATGACTGACACCCACTCAAAAGAACCAAACCTGCTGCCAGCCAGTCTGTTCTAACCCTGTCTGGCAAAGTCGAATGGCCCGTAGGATTTCCAAGACGAATTCTTTTTACTGGAGGTGAGTGACACATCTCTCTGCTGCAGCATGGCTGGTGAGTCTCAACCTCAGATCTTTCTATCTGCAGCCCCGCACGTGACCACCCTGCCCCCATGGCAGTGCCATAAGAAAAAGACAGAGAAGAACAAGTGTGGGCAAGAACGCGGAGAAACTGGAAACCCTCGTAACTGCTGGTGGGAATGAAAAACGGTGCAGCCACTTTGAGAAACAGTCTGGTAGTTCCTTTACAGGTTAAACATAGAGATGTCACGTGACTCGGCACTTGCATTCCTCGTCATATGCCCAAGATGAATGAAAAAAATGTCCACACTGAAATGTGTACACAAAGGTTCACAGCAGCCTTATTAATAATACCCAAAAGGTGAAAATAAGCAAAAGATTGCCAATCGCTACAATGGAGGTCACTTAAAAATGAAAGGGAGCTCTCGTGGCCTAGTGGCAAGAAGCTGCACTGCAACCTCAGAGGCACACAGTTCGCATCCACCATATGCTCTTCTGGAAAAGGAGCGGCAATCTCCTCCTGTACCAGTCAGATTCTATTTGACAGTACACACAAACAAAAGCAAAAAAGTAACAAAAAAAACCCCAAACTCAATAACAACAAAAAAATGAATGAGAAACACTGATAGATACATATATGCATACATACATACATACATACATACATACATACATACATATAGATACATAAATGATAGATACATAGAGATATAGATAGATACATAGAGAAATAGTTACATAGAGAGAGAGAGATGATAGAAAGATAGATAGATAGATAGATAGATAGATAGATAGATAGATAGATAGATAGATAGAATAGACAGACAGGCAGACAGGCAGACATACAGACTACAACGTGGATGAACCTTGAAAACAATATGTTAAATGAACAAAGTCACGTGCAAAAGACCACATATTATATGAGTCCATCTACAGGAAAGGTCCATAATAGACAAATCTATGGAGTCTGACAGGAGATTAGTGGTTGCCTGGGGCTGGGGGCATTGGGAGGAAATGGGGAGTGAATATTACTAGGTATAAAGTTTCTTTTTAAGCAGATGGAAATGTTTCGGAATTAAACATTGGTAATGGTTGTACACATCTGAAAGGGTCCTAAAATCCACTGAATTTCAAACGTGGGGGGAGGTGGGAGAACACAGCAATACTCTGCTGTCCCCGCGGGGTCACTGGCTGAACTTACCATCCGCAGGTTTTGAGTTGTTCTTGTTTCTACAGCTCTGAGGATTTCGCGAAATCTCCCGACTCCTCTCGTCAAGTTCCTGTGTGAACAAAGAACGTGACAGTGTTTCCATCTCATGTGTGTCAGCATTAGATATTCTACACGTAGATTTCAACGCAGTTTGTCTGCAAAGCGTTGCTGAGTAGCTCATAAGTAGACTTCTCCGGCACCACCTTTGGTTAACTTGGAAAAACATGACCTAGGATCGTGCTCGGAAGGGCGGAGTGTCAACAAAACAAAAGACCCACAACAAGAGAGAAAAAGAGACACAGCGTGCGCAGCAATGGCCTCACGTGTGTTGGGCCAATAAAGATGGCGCGGGTTAGGACAGGCTTCAGGTCTGTTCAAAAGGTCTCTACGAGTCAACGGTACTTGACTCACATCAAAACTTCTCAAAGCATAGAAATCTGAAGATCAGCCCTGAGGCAAAAAATAAAAACAAACCAAAAATAAAAAAAACAGCTAGATGCAAAGGCCTACCCAGCTGCAAACTTACCACACAGTGAACAATTCTGCTATTTCCTCCATTAAGTGCTCTGAAAACTAGCCCGTCTTTTGCAAGGTGAGAGGCAGCAGCACTAGGCCAAAAGGAGCTGGGAACCCCACAAGCTTATTGCATTTATGTGGGTATGATAAAGATGTCAGAGCATGAAAAATTAGGGGGTCCCCCCGCCAACCAGCCACTCTGCATCTCTGAGGACGTGAATCGCTGCCTGATAAACCCTCACCCAACCCTCCTCCCAGTCCTGCACCAACAGAAGGAGCAAAGGGTCAAAGGCCCCTGCAGAGGGCCAGCATGTGATCCCCGGCCAGAGCCGATTGTCTTGTGATCAGAACACAGCTCCTTCTCCTGCTCCGCACGCCCCACCGAGCATGGCTGGTGACGCATCTCATTAGATGGCAAATCATCCTGTAGCGGCCTCCTGGTCCATCGACCTAAGTCCCCCTTGTTCCTTTGAACCCTGTGCCCAGTCTGCTTGGCTGGGAACATCTCTCAGCCGGTCCCTTTACAGTAAGAGGGGCCACCAGCTCTGCCATAACTCACTTCTATTTATAACCTGTTCATTAAAACACATTTCATCTTTGTAAAAAGCCACCGTGCAGGTCAGCTGGTGCAGACCTGTCAGGCAGCCTCTGCAGGCAGGGGCGGCCACTCTAGGTACCCGGCTCCATGGATGACATTCTAAATCACGTAGAGGCATTGCATCTAACTGAATGTGGGTTCTGCGAGTCACAAGTGCTCACCAGAGCTACTGAGGTGTTTCCTCTATCTACACGACACCCCAGGACTCTCATTCATCAGAATTCTTCAGATAATCATTTACTAATTTACTGGCACAGGTATATAAATGCTCCCAGATTCCTCTCGCCCTCCCCCACCCTCCATCAGATGGTATCAGATCAGAGCTTTATGGTCACGTAAAACGAGGCTTGTGTTCAGGGCTCAGAGCAGCGCTATGGGAAATCTAGCCGAGAGCCGCGAATGCAACCCAGGCCTGAAGACCTGCAATCCCCTCTGCCTCTCACTTCATTTGTTTTTATGGGATCTGTGTTCACGGGCAGTTGAGCACATTTGCTTTGGGCTGAAGTTCGTTCTCCTAAATGACATAAGGAGAAGGAACCAACTGTAGCTGGGAAACGGATGGACACTGGCACACTGAGGGAGCTCTGGTGGCTGACTGGTAAGAAGCCGAGCCGCCAACCCACAGGCAAGTGGTTCAAATCCACCAGCTACACCTCAGGAGAAGAATGGGCAATCTCCTCCTGTGCATTTACAGCCTATGAAAACTCCCCAGAGGATCAGCTATGAGTCTCTTCCGACTTGACAGTACATCACAACAATAACAGCATGGGTATGTTATTTTCTTTTATTCCAAATCACTAATTAAGCATCTACTCTGCACAAAAACAGGAGCTCAGCAGTTAAGTGGCCACGCTAATGAAAAGGCTGGCCGACTGAAACTACACAGCCACACCAAGGCAGAAAAGACCCAACAATCTGCTCTCGTTAGCCTAGTGTCCAGAAGGCTCTACAGGACATCTGCTCTGTCACACAGGGTCACTGTGGGTGGAGAGTGCTCACCGCCACCAGCATGTACGCTCTGGTACTCGGACATAAGGGTAGGTCTGGTTGATAGCGATAGTTGGTCAGGTGGGAATTGTATCTTGAACAGCAGTTGTTATTGTTGTTGTATACCACTGAGGCAGAACTAACCCACAGCTGACCCTCTGGCAGGTTTCAGAGACAGTCTACTACACAGGAGGAGATAGTCCATCCTTATCTCAAGGAGCAGCTGGTGGATTTGAACCACATGCCTTTGGGTTGCCAGCACAACTCCTTACCACTAGGCCACCAGAAGCTCCCAAAGGGCAGCAGGGAATGAAATGTTGAACCCAGGGAAGACAAGTAGGAATTCGTCATTCAGAACGTCCCCCGTGAGGTAAGGTTACAGACGCATGGCATTTTCTAGCTATAAATGACCCAACACAATCCAGGCCATAAGGTCACAGAAGTGAAGGGATACTCAGCTTCCCAAGACCAGGGAGAAGTGAACGGAATCGTCTAGCTGCATAGACCATCACTTTGCTGGGCAAAAGAAAGGTCCTTGATCTTTTATGCTCTGAACATGCAAATTATATATATAGTGTATATACATATGATATAAATCGTCTACCTTCCAGTGAGCCCAGATAATGAGCTAGATCTAGACTCTGGTTCAAAAGCGCAAGAAAAACCAGTTGGCCCAGGGGAAGGAGGCTGGTGTCAGCGGGCTGGCGGCTGCTGAAGGATGGATGGAGAAATCCAACACCCCCCTGGGGCCCGAGACAGCTTCTCCCGTGTAGGACGGAGGCCCTCTGCTGGAGGAACAGGAGAAGTCTCCAGGCCGAGATGCCACACAAGAGGCGGCCACCAGCATGCCTGTGCCCAGCCTGGCCTCAGAAGCAAATACACATTTCTCTCAAATGGGCTCCGGTTTCTTTCCAGATGGAACACGGCATCCAGAACCAAGTGCTTCCTCCAGCTGGGAAGAATCCTGCTTGTGAAGGGGACAGTAAACGTGGGACAGAGAAGGCCTGAGGCTGTGACCTACGCATGACTGAGGCACCACTAAAGGGCACTCCTGGGGCTGGTGCCAGTCCAACCGGAGAGCACAACACTGCCAGCAGCAGGGAGAAGGGACTGGAGTGAAAAGATGAAGCATTAGAAACACTCACAGTATTAGAAAAGGAAACTGTTTCCTAAATGGGAAAACTTAAAACTGTCAGCAAAAAAAGCTGGTATGCATACAAATTCCACTTCTATTGTACATTTTCTTCAGCAAGTTATTTCCATTGTTACTCCAACAGCAGGAAGAGGGATTTTTAAAACAAGTGCTTAATAATCATAATAGAAACTAGAAATAGCAGAATAATTAAAAAGGGAGTAAAGGATTAAACTGAACCACCACCAAAATGAGGAAACTGATTCTAAATCCTTCAAACGCCCCGGTTTGCGAGAACTAAAAACAAATCACACACCTGCCTTCAGGTCTCAAAACTGCATTTTAGTCTCAAAAACCTAAGTCCTTTTAGAGACTATGGTATTTAAAGAATGAACTGCTTTTTAAAAATTCCGCTCAAAACTGAAGATGAGAGAGCCAAGGAATTCCCTGCTTTGGGGGGGGGATTTCTCGGACCCCGTGGGCTGTGATGTCAGCTCGTCCATATCAACACCCGTGAAGAGGACAGTGGGAGCCAGCACATCCAACTTCATTATTGTGAACTCGTCTCTAAGCCAAGGTCCCTGCTGCTCAGTGGGCATGTTGGCAAGCCAGAATTTGGGGTTCATCCCCTGCCCCTTGTTCCAGCAAGCTTCCTGTGCTGGCAAGTTTCCCTCTACACGAACGGTTCCTGCAAGCTCAGCTGTTGTCCAGGAGAAAGGACCTCACGTCCCTTGGACACCAGCTGGCTGTTCAGCCTGATGGGCTTCACTTGTCAACATCACAATCCGTCCCAGACCCACCAGGGAGACCCCCAGGTCACGGTCCCACAGCTGGGCTCCTGCTCAGACCCCCGGCTCTGGCCTGGCAGGAAAGATGCCCTCTTTCAGAGATCTGCTTCTCCCTCCACCCACTGCCAGCTCTACTCTCGGGGCTCGTCCTCTTTCGTTCCCATGTCAGGGGGTCAGCACTGACCCACAGGACGCCAGCACCTGCTCTCTTCCTGCAACAGGCTCTGGTACCCCCAAGAAGGTTGGCCTCCGAGATGTCCAGGTTATTGTTCACAGCGGTGACTGGCTCTGCCTGTGACTTGGAACAAGTCTGTCATCACTTTTACCTACCAAACCAAGGGGAAGCATACATAGGAAGGAAGCCAGGGCCACAAACTCAAAACTGGGTATTGGAAAACCAGGGAAGGCAGAGAAAGTTGGGGACTTGAGAGTCATTCCATGCCCTGATGGGAGGTGGCATTGGTGCCAGACTTCACACATTTTTGTTTGTTGTGTCACCTTTCATTTATTGGGTTTAAAGTGGTAAGGAAAAAAAGCAAAACCCACTGTCAACAAGTCAGTTCTGCCTCATAGTGACCCTCCATGGGGTTCTGAGGCTGCAAATCACAACAGGAGGAGACTGCCCCTCTTTCTCCCTTAGTGAGACAAGTGAACTTGAACCACCAGAGAACTGACCTTGAGGTTAGCAGCTCATGTCTCTCTGCACCCCAACCCACTGGAGCTCTCTGTGGGTGTCGGGGAGGAAGAGATCATTTTCCCCCTTAATTTCTCTTTTCATACTCTTTTGACCTAAACATTTGGCCCAGGTCACTAGGACCCTAAAATCCAACATCAACTATCATTATCTTGTGAATTCCAAGTTGTAAAGTGAACCAAACACTTTTTATACTGGATGCCAAATTCCTAGGTAAGAAGATAGAGGAACCCCTGCTAGAATTATGTTCAATATTTTTCTCTTTCTCTGTGGCTAAGAACTTTATAACTACAGATCAATTACAGCACAAATCAACACAGCAGAGCTCAGAGGGCGGAGCATCTTTCACTTGGCC